AATTCTTCAAAATTCACATCTGGGTGGACATTCATCTTCCTCGAGTGAATCTACAAAATTAACAAAAAGGTTTCAATAAGAATGCTTCCAACTGGAAAAGTAATCACGAAACATAAGGAATTGTAAAAGACAAACCTGCAGAATTCTAGCTCTTGCATCTTCTGTGGGATGTGGAAACTCAATTTTACGATCCAACCGACCAGAACGCATAAGAGCTGGGTCAAGGATGTCAGCACGATTTGTTGCTGCTATCACCTGCAATTAAGTCAATGAAATTGGTAATGTTACCAAAATAAAGCAGACGTTCTCTAAGTATTAGATGCCCAGAAAGTAAAAAGGCTGAAACATCTACTAAGAGTTCCCAAGTGAATCATAGTTGAAGGAAAAGTGAATACACTACAAACAAGGATAAACAAACCTTGATCCGGTCATCGCTACTAAAGCCATCAAGCTGATTAAGCAGTTCAAGCATTGTACGTTGCACCTCCCTATCCCCACTCACTTCACTGTAACCAACAATGAGAGAATAAATTTCAATCAGGAAAGAATGCAGTGATCAAATTGGGCAACAACATCCAAGTACATATTTGTTATCTATATGAAAATAATTCATAGAAATGGCTGCTGAGGAAATATAGTATACCTATCAAATCGCTTTGTGCCAATTGCATCAATTTCATCTATGAAAATGATGCAGGGGGATTTCTCTTTTGCAAGCTGAAAGGCATCACGAACAAGTTTTGCTCCATCCCCAATGAACATCTACATGAACTCCAAGTATGATTACTTCGTTAAGCACCCAGTTAGAAAATCTAGAGTTCACTAACATCGTAAAAAATGATTGCTAATACAATAGTTGAGCATATTTAAACATAGAGAGCTAGGTCATACAGAGTTCATTTACTCTCCCAAAAAGGATACAAGGATCATGTCCTCCTAATCAGAAACAGGTAAGACAAAGGAAAATCTATGAAACAACTGATTTATATCTCAGAAAACCTAGAGTTCACAAACAAATAATTCAATTCTTCAGGATGAAGGAACCTCTAATGCAAAATAATTTTAAGAAATAGACGATTCCTTCTCTAATCTGAGCACAAGGATCAGCATTTGGGAGAACAAACAAAGGCTAAGCCCAAATGAAGATAATCAAACTATGAAAAGAGTGCATTAGAGGCATTCTCAAAATTGTTTCAAAATCAGCCACCATGCTAAACA